AATCCTATAAGTTGGGATATAAGGTCGTGAGGTTAATCTAAAGCCAATTTTCAGCAAAACACGCCATAATGATTACTCTTTTAACCGGCTTCAAGTGAGATGTATTGAAATTCTAAGGAGACAGTGATAATTAGGGGAGATAAACCCACCAAATTTCTTATCGAAAAGAAGGAAGCGATTCACTGAAGCTAGCTGAAACCTACCATTTCGAAGAGAGTCTTGCAAACTAATAGGAGAAGAACAAAACAACAGTGAATGAGAAATACTGGGTCCTTTATAGCTATTGCATTATAGGAGTTCCTACTATTCTTTACTCTCTATAACCCATCTTAAACCCTGGAACTTCACACAACCAATCCAACCCATCACGCTGTAAAGTCATAGAAAACAAAGTATGAAAGATCATGCTCCCTTAGGGCCAATAGTACCCCATTACCAAGTCAATTGCAATCCACATTTTCAATAAGTACAACCCCAGGTTTGACAAATCTTAAGCAAATAATGAAGCGAGGTGAAAGAGCCAAAATCGACATTGGTGCTGGGAGGAACACATACCCCGAAAATTAATTTATATTATTCGAGAAAGCTATAGCCATATCTCTACTTCTTCGTCTCGTTGGTAATTCTCGGTAGGGTTCCCGTTTTTGACTTTTCTCCCTTGTCTTGCCTGTGAAACAGACATAGAAACTTGCAAATCGAATTACAAAGGGAGAGGGGCTAAAAGATGCAGATGAAAAAACATGAGAAGTTGTCTCAAAACAAAAAGAAAGATTGAACAATCGAAAGTTTGCAACAAACCTTCTATTTGGCTGAGAGCACGTTGAATGGAAGACGTGACGTTTGGTAGGCGAAGAGGAACCAAGCAAAATCTTTTGGAAGGGATTCAGAGAGGATAGGGGAGAGTTGGTAAGTAACCGCCGAAGATGAATCAACCAAATTAAGCGTGGAACTGAGGCGACCACTGAAAACTGATTCGAAGAGGATATGGAAGTCGCCGTCCACTGATTGATTACAGGTTGGGTGGAATAGGGATTCAGAGGGCGAGAAGAGGACTGAGATAGCTTTTCGTCGCGGGAGAGTCAGTGGTTGGCGATTAAGCGTGGCTGAGTTGAAGGTGGAATGCTAAGGAAGGAGAGAGCAGTGCGGTAACGCGTTGGGAGGAAATAAGGATTCAGAGAGGGAGGAGGGACTTTGGTAGTTTGCGGGGGATAAGCGGCATCGGCGGTTCGCATTGCTGGTATGAGGTGAGGAAGAAGGGAAATCAGCGGCTGCGGGGGCTTCACAGAAGCTTTTTCCCGGTAATAAAATAAGGAGATCCAGCGACATGTAGTTTCCACAATTGCCCCTAGCGAGAATGAAGGAGAAGCCAGGGATTTCAAAATGGAGAAAATTTGCCGAAGAACGGCCATATATTATAGGAGGATGAAAAATAATATATGGGAAACTTACTATGTCATAATTTGTGCGAAAATGAAATTCACATAACTATAATTCATGTTTTAATGATGGAGAGTTGTATTTATATTGTTGAAACATTTGAACTTCACACCAAACACCTCATGAAGTATGAATGGTGGTAGGGGTGGTAAACGGTAATCCGGTAACAGTTTACCGTTTTACCGAACCAGTAACCGACGGTAAACGGTAAACCGTTTACCGGCGGTATTGGCAGCCGGGCGGGAAGTTGGGGGAGTCAGTTTACCGGACACGGTATCGGTAAATACCGACGGTAAATCGGTATTACCGATACCGAATCCCCCCTCCCTACTCCCTAGTGTTGCGCTGCGTTTTGTTGCTTTACCCCCAAAAATATAAAATATTACATACATGAATGTAAGTATAGGTAGGGGTGGTAAACGGTAATCCGGTAAACGGTTTACCGTTGTACGGAACCGGTAACCAACGGTAAACGGTAAAGCCGAGCGGGTAGTTGGGGAGTCGGTTTACCGGACACGGTATCGGTAAATACCGACGGTAAATCGGTATTACTGATACCGAATCCCCCCTCCCTACTCCCTAGTGCTACGCTGCGTTTTGTTGCTTTACCGCCAAAAATATAAAATATTACATACATGAATGTAAGTATAGGCCTCAAAAATATTGTAAATAAGAGTTAATAATAAATTATTAATTACAAAAATGATGAAAAAGCTCAAAAAAATCAAAATATTACAACATCACCCCACTTCCAGAAATTCGATTCGGTAAATATTCGGTAAACCGACCGAAAAACCGCTTGAAATCACTTCTCATTGTATTTCGGTAATACCGGCTTGTAACCGTTTACCGATAATTCGATAATCGGTAAACCGGTTACAAACCGGTATCGGTAATCAGTAACTAGTTTGGCCAACTTCGGTATACCAAAACCGGTAAATTCGGTAAACGGTAAATTGTTTACCGACCGAATCCCACCCCTAAGTATAGGCCTCAAATATATTGTAAATAAGAGTTAATAATAAATTATTAACTATAAAAATGATGAAAAAAACTCAAAAAAATCAAAATATTACAACATCACCCCACTTCCAGAAATTCAGTTCGGTAAACCGACCGAAAACCGCCCGAAAGCGCTTCTCACGGTATTTCGGTAATACCGGTTTGTAACCGTTTACCGGTAATTCGGTAATCGGTAAACCGGTTACAAACCGGTATCGGTAATCGGTAACCAGTTTGGCCAACTTCGGTATACCGAAACCGGTAAATTCGGTAAACGGTAAATTGTTTATCGACCGAATCCCACCCCTAAATGGTGGAGTTCTGGAACCATTAGATAGTATGGATGGAATTTTGCGAAAATATCGGTTAGTGGTTAGTGATTTTATATAAAAAGGGATACACATGTGGATATTATTTGATCTTTTGGAAAATTAAAAATTTTGGGTGAATATTATGTCAATATTAATTGCCATAATTTTTACCAAGAAACATCACTCTATAATTAAGACGATATAAAAAAAATAAGTGCTTACCTGTTTAGATCGCACTTATCTTGATCCTGAATCCAATAGTTATTTTGTTCCCTTCTATCTCAACCTTGTTATTTCTCAAATCTTTAAACCACCTCTAATTTAGGCAAAGATATATTATTTTCAATTAATAATAATTTTTATATTTTATTGATATTTAAAAATCATATTCAATATATAGCACATCACATGATGTGTTGTATATCAAATGTAAAATAATGGTATAAAAGTGTTAAAACAATTACAACAAAAAACTTAAAGCTATAATGAAATTGATAGTAGTGATGACAATTTGAACTCATTCTGTCGCGTATTACCTCACCTGATCCGTGTTTGGACACCGAATATCGTGGGGTGAAGCATGTGTACTACTTCATCTTGTGTCGCCCTGTCCCGCCCGTTCTTGACCCTTTTTACTTTAATTTATCTCAATATTCAATTATATTATCCTGCTTTTACTCGTCATATATAATATTTTCACACAATGATACTTTAGATCAAGGTTGTCAATCTAGTTTAGCCAATTGACCCGGTCGAGCTAGTGGGTCGAGATTTAATGAGTCGATCGATTTAGTTAAGTTTAGACCGGTTTAACCCAAAAATATTGAAAAGTGATATTATACATGCATAAATAAATAATATTAAATATCATATAACATATAAAAGTACACTAAGATAATAATTCGTACTTTAACTCAAAGGGGTCGTTTGGATGGATCAATTGTAAAACGAGACAATTTGACCAATTGTTTCATTTTACAAAACGAGTCATTTAAAACGAGTCAATTCAGATTACCTGCCCCCACCCCAGATAATTGTAATTGGCTCAAAATGAGTCAATTCAGAATTCCCCAGCCCAAATTGCTTCATCCAAATTTTCTGCTGCCAAACGGATCAATCTAGCACAATTGACTCAAAACGAGACAATTGTGTCCGATTGATCCATTAGAATTCCTCATCCAAACGACCCCAAAACATCTCACCTGCAAATCGCTGATGCTAAAACCCAAAAACAAAACCTAATTGTTGTGCTATCACGTGTGCTCCTTTTATTGTCCTAGATGTCTCCAAAACATTTTCTGTTTTTTTTTTCCTTCCTCTGGGAGCCGAGAGAGTGGGACTCTCTTCTCTCATATACACTTATCTCTCCAGATGGCAATGATATATTGTAAAAAGTTAGGCAACGGTAACTATGTTTTAGGTTTATATATATTAACGATGTCTCCCTATGTAAGTGGAATAAGATTGATACGATAAGTGGATGTGAACTTTTCGAACGATTTGAGTTATTACGATAAGTAGGTTTATGATATGGTGCGGCTTCAGTCGTATTTTGGATAAATTGAGGATACCACATACTCTTATTAAGAAAAAAACTCTATATAGATCTCAAAATAACCAGATTTTGGGACATATGATAGTATACTCTAACTCTTAATTAGTCAACTATATGTCTTAATTACTATCTAAATTGTAAACCATAAACTCTAAGATAGTGCATGTAGTTTGTATTAGAATTAAAGATATGCAATGAGAGAATGGATTTGGCAATCAAACGTGATTTGCTCTTTGTATTCTGTTTAACCTTTATACAACAGTCTAGAGGAGGTTGTTAAAAGAATGAGGGAGATTGTACAGGGAGGTTGAGTAATGGACCCGAATAAGTGGGTTAGAGGAAACAGAAAAAGAATAAATAATTAGTAAAAAGAATGATTATTCGTTTTCTCCAATACGCCCCCGCAAGATGGTGGAGGTATCAAGGACGCCAATCTTGGAACGAAGTAGAAGAAATCGGGTGGCAGGGAGGGGTTTGGTGAGAGTGTCAGCAAGCTGATGAGCAATCGGAATGTAGGAGACGCGGAGACGACCGTCCTAGACAAGCTGACGAACAAAGTTAAAGTCGAGAGCTAGATGCTTCATACGAGAGTGAAAGATAGGATTAGAACTAAAACATGTAGCGTCGAGGTTGTTAGAAAACAGAGTTGGAGCATAGAGTAGTGGCTGGTGGAGCTCCTTCAAGAGATTTTGGACTCATTCCAATTCAGCAGCAACATGGGCAATCACACGATATTCGACCTCGGTGCTGGAGAGGGCAACGGTGCGTTTCTTATGAGAGCACCAAGAAATAGGCGTGGAGCCGAGGTAAACAAGATAGGCCGAGGTAGAGGTGCGATCATCCAGATTGTCGGCCCAGTTGGAGTCAACAAACGCAGTGAGGCGCAATGGCAAACCGGTATGACGAATAGCCAAACCATAAGTGATAGTAACACGGACATAGCACAACAGGCGTTTGAGACATTGCCAATGATGAGAAGTAGGCACATGCATGTATTGAGAGAGCTTGTTGACCGAATAGGCAATGTCTGGGCGGGTGTAGACAAGATACTGAAGAGCACCTAAGGCCTGGCGGTAACGGGTTGCATCAGTAGGAGAGCAGCCATCACTGAGAGAAAGTGTAGTAGAGGAGGCAAAAGGAGTGGAGACCGGAGCCGCGTCAAGCATGTGAAAGCGAGTGAGGACATCGGTCATGTACTTGTGTTGGGAGAGAACATAACCGTTGGCCGTAGGAATGACCTCGATACCCAAGAAATAATTAACATCACCAAGTTCTTTGAGAGAGAACTGGTCCGCTAGAGCTAGCTGAAAAGCAGTGAGAGTGGTAGCATCATTACCAGTGAGTAGAAGATCATCCACGTACACAAGGAAGTACATGAGAACCCCAGCACGATTATAGACAAAGAGCGAGGCATCAGACTTAGACTTGACAAAGCCAAAGGCGAGGAGAAAAGTGTTGAGGGCTATATACCACGCGCGGGGAGCCTGACGCAGACCATAGATGGCTCGGCGAAGCAGGCAAACATGCTGAGGGCGATCAGGGTCAACAAAGCCAGGAGGTTGAACCATATAGAACTCATCCTCAAGAGGCCCTTGAAGAAAGGCGTTGTTGACATCGAACTGCTTAATGGACCATTGATGGGAGAGAGCAATAGTGAAGACAGTGCGAACCGTGACCGGTTTGACCACGGGGATGAAAGTGTCCTGAAAATCCACACCGGACCGTTTATGAAAACCCTTGGAAACAAGACAACATTTGAAGAGATTGATAGAACCCTCGGAGTGATGCTTGATACGATAGACCCATTTATTGCCAAGAACATTAAAAATGCGGCTCACGAGGAACAAGATCCCAAGTGTGGTTGTGAAGTAGCGCAGAATGTTCCGTGTGAAGAGCAGAGTTCCATTCAGGATATTTCACAGCATCATGAACAGAACGAGGCTCGATGGGAGGTGAGCAGACGACAAAATTGGCCGAAAATAGGCATTTCGGCTTATATATCCCATCTTGGGCTCTTGTCGTCATGCGATGGGTGCGTGTCACCGGGGGAGGAGTAGTGGGCCGCAGAACAGAGGGCACTGGCGAGGAAATCTCAAGCCCGGCGGGTTGGGAAGGCCCAGTAGAGGAAGCAGGTGGAGCAGTGGAGATAGCAGGTGGGCCAACAGAGTATGTAGAAGGAGAAGAGTTAAATCGAAGATCTGGAACAAGACTAGCTTATCGTGGCTAGCTCTAATACCATATTAGAATTAAATATATGCACTGAGAGAATGGATTTGATAATTAAACGTGATTTGCTCTTTGTATTCTGTTTAATCTTTATACAACAGTACAGAGGAGGTTGTTGAGAGAATGAGGGAGATTGTACAGGGAGGTGGAGTAATGGACCCGAAGAAGTGGTTTAGAGGAAACAGAAAAAGAATAAATAATTAGTATTATTCTTTTTCTCCAATAGTTTGTTGCCTATATTTTGACGAATCACATACGTCGATTATTGTTTCAATAAGATTTGGAAAATTAGGACCTAAATTTTAGTCTTTAAGGATTATAGAATCATACCATGTCCTAAAGTCATGTCAATTTCGGATCTAAATACCGTTTTATTGCTAAAGTTAAGAAATACCCCTCCCTAATTTCATTCTCAAGGCATGATAAAACAACTGATGCTATTATTCTCGAATGAATATATATACTAACTAATTAAGTTGAGGAGTTTCTACTTTCTACTACATACGCTTTTAAAAGTCATACTTGCTTGATACCTTAGACATACTTTTAAAAGTCATACTTGCTACTTGTTTGATCAATCTCTCACACGATGGAGAGACAGAGTTAAACTTATCATGCTTACTTAATTAACTTGAGAAGTTTGAGCTTAGTTAAGGTGTTCTCCCATGCAATGGGAAGATATAAACTTATTAACTTGCACTTGACTAGTTTAGGATTGAACTTACATTTAATTTGTTTGGTTTAAAACGTAGTTCAATGATACTATGCATAAAGTAAAACCTGAACCTGAACAAATTAACTTAACATGAAAGCATATAAAGAATAACTGAAACATTAAACAAGAACTGAAATGCATAACATGAACAATTAAATGCATAGACCGATAAAGAAACTACTCTAGCCCCTTTAATCACGCACCTGACACTTAGTTAGAACCTCAATTAGTGGGGCCAACCGCCATTGCCCGATGTCCGCACCATTCATGCTTCTCCGATCCCTCCTCGTGCAAATTTCCGCCTTACCAACAATAGCTCCCGTCAACGTATTAAGCTTTTACTAATCAAATTACCAATCCAAACTCCTATTACGTACACGTCTGCGATCAACAAGAATTCCCCACCTTCCACACTCAACCTACAATGGCCAAAACCCTTGCTTGGATGCGTTGAGCTTAATCCAATACTAACAATAACTTGAAACATGGTTGGTCCATTTACGTAGATGCACAAAGCCACCCATGCTTTTACTAAAAGTCTAAACTAAAACCCTCGGTATCATTCTACCCAAATTTCCCTCGTGGTCAATTAATTAATTACTGGATTCACCCAATTCCCTATAGTGCCAATAGCGTCCTCGAAGTAATAGTTAGTAAGCCATAAAATTCTAGTTAATCAAGCTAGCTACACCACCCACCATCATTCTTATTGACAGCTTAGCCTTGTCTGTACGTGCCATCTAAAGGAAGTGTCTTACCTATTTTCCAATGACTTTGTGCTTGGTCCCCGCGCTACAAATCGTGTCCTCACTCTCGTCCGTACAATGGCCGTCGATTGAGTAAGAAATTAATAGTTAACTCTTCCGGTCTTTTGTGAAAGTACTGAACCTAAACTGCTTGCTCTACGACCGACGATCAGCCGTGCTTTGCTGTCGATGTCCCGCCGTGGTATCGTCCCAGTCCCTTCGAGTTGTCATCAATGGCCTCCATCAGAGGCAAATCTAATGGAACCCATGGGGATGAATCGTGGTTTTGGTGGTGGCGGGCGGAGACGGCAACGATGATATATATGGTGTTCATGCGGCTGCGCGCGGTTGAGAGTTTCCCCCACAAGCAAAAATCCATAATGGCTGCTCCATTCCCTATATATATATATATATATATGTATACTCCCGTTGCTGATCTAGGGTTTAGCTTAAGGATAACTGAATTATTTATAACCAATGAATGAACGATAATTTAGGAATTGTACAAAAACTAAAGGGCCGGGTGTTACAGTGAAAGACTCAAGACCAGTGTTTTCTATTATTGACTTCAACTGTTTATATAGTACATGGCGCAGAGAGTGCAGCGGAAGAAAAGCAACAGAAAGAGTGGAAACATGAGGAAAGAGTGGAGCACAACGTTCCACAAATAACAGCTAACAAGAAGTCTAAAATGCTCGGAGAGTCGAAACTTGGAGCAGAACTTGGTTAATGGCTGCCTAGACAACGGTTTGGTGAGGACATCAACAAGTTGATTCAGTGCTGGTAGATAATGCACGCGAAGCTGCCCTTTGCTGACTTGATCAAGAACAAAATGGAACTCGATTTCCATATGCTTCGACCGGTTGTGAAACACCGGATTATGAGCAAGAGAAGTGGCACCGAGATTGTCACACCAAAGCGCTGGAGCAGTGGGTAGCTGCTGCCCCAATTCAGCGAGTAAGGATTGCAACCAGAGAACCTCCGAAGCGAGCGTAGCCAGAGCACGATATTCACATTCCGTAGATGAGCGAGCAACAGACTTTTGCTTCCGAGTAGACCAGGAAACCAGATTGGAGCCGCAGAAGACAGCGAACCCAGTGACTGACTTGCGATCCTTGGGACAAGATGCCCAAGAGGCGTCCGAGTAGCCATGAACATGAAGAGAGGAAGATTGAGAGATTACCAGCTCAGGATCAAGAGTACCTTTCAAGTAACGTAGGATCCACTTGACAGCTGCCCAGTGATTATCAGTCGGAGAGTGCTGAAATTGGGAGACATGATTCACCGCAAAGGCAATGTTTGGTCGGGTAAAACTAAGATATTGTAGGCCACCCACTATACTACGATACATTGTTGGGTTCGAGAACAGAGGGGATGAGTACATGGCTGACTGCTGGACAATATCACTTGTGCAAGGTGTAGAGATCGCGTTGGCCTCGAACATATGGGCGCGTTCAAGTAAATTCTTAATGAACTTGCGTTGTCGAAGAAGAATACCAGTGGGCGTGCGACACACTTCAATGCCAAGGAAATATGATAGGGTCCCAATTCACGAAGAGAAAAGTTGTCGCGAAGAAAGGTGAACAGTCTTTGAATAAAAGATGAATCAATACCCGTGATGACGATATCGTCACCGTAGACCAGCATATAAACCCGGGTTGAACCAGTCTTGTAGATGAATAAAGACGGATCAGTTCGTGAAACAGAAAATCTGAAGCGAGTAAGAGCCGCAGCAAGACAGCTAAACCAAGTTCTTGGTGCTTGGCAGAGACCGTATATGGATTTTCGAAGACGACAAACATGGTCGGGCTTGTCGGGATCGACAAAACCAGCCGGCTGCTGCATATAGACTGTTTCCTGCAACTGACCATCAAGAAATGCATCAGCAATATCAATTTGATGGAGAGGCCATCCTTGTGTAACCGCAAGCCCAAGAATAAGTCGTAGGGTAGCCGGTTTGAGAACAGGACTGTAGGTCTGATGGAAATCCAGACCCGGAATCTGCTCATAACCACGAGCAACCAAACGAGCAAGGCAGCAATCCAATGAGCCAGTAGGATGGAGCTTGGTGCGATAGACCCACTTGTTGGAGAGTATATTGCAGTTAGGAGGAGGGGGAACCAAGTCCCAGGTGTGGTTGTGAAGTTGAGCAGTGATCCCCTTTCGCATAGCCGAGCGCCAGAGTGGGTTTTTGAAAGCCTGTTTGACAGTGGTTGGGATGTCATCGATGTGGAGGTGAGCAAGGAAAGTCTTGGGTTTTAGGTTGCCTTTTTTATGCGGGTTACCATGGGATGGGTAGAGCTGG